TTGGGGGAACAACAGCCTGTTATATTATCGTTGCTTAAAACAACATGCTTTTTGTGTCTTCTCATTAATGCAGATATTGTTCAGAAATAAAAGTTCTAAATTTTAAGAACCTTTTCCCCCTTGGGGCTATTGTGAAGAGTAAGGTGTAAATCTTTAAATAAAAGGTTTAAATCAATACGTTCACTTATTGGCTGAGCACGTCCATGTGCCTAGGGTCAACCATATTTCTAAGTACCAGGAGCACAAAAATGATTAAGACCGAGTCACTACCCTTGAGGAATTCAGAGTGTATTGAAAGTGATAGACATAAAAGAACTGCTTTATACTGTAGAGAATGTCACAGCTGGGTCTGTACAAGATGTAATATTGGAGTAAACAGTGTCACGGTTAACTCTACTTGGGATGAGGGTCATAGGGTCAGGAAAGATGTCACAGGAGGCAATTAATCTGAAACTTGAACAAGGAGGTCAAACACAGTTACAGTCTTACATGTATAGATGTGAATTTCTGTGGCACAAGGGAAAAACACATAAGTGGTGGATAGAGCCAGCTGGAGCTGGCACTGATAGGTCTGAGTGGTGGGGGAAAGTGGGCAGGACAGGGAGGTGTCCAGGATGGGCTCCCAGGCTTCTAGCCTGGGTGTCTCCCATATGATGCTGGAATAATAGTAACCTCTTAACTTCTGGTCTGGTTGAATCAAGGTGCTCAGGAACTAGTCTGAAGGCATGTCAGAAGCAGTCACTGGGCCGTGACGGAGTAGGAGTGCCTCCTGACTGCCTGTGGAGGGATTCAGCAGCCTTCCTACTGAGCTCATATTCAAGGGGAACCTCGAAGAAAGTGGGTGGGAGGGGAGAAATGTGGGTGAGAAAGAAGGTATACCAAGTCCAGGTCCAGGGGAGGAAAAAGATGCATGATGGCACAGAGGTCCTTGCCGGGCTCTGGGAAACAGTTGAGGATTCCTGGAGCAAAAATTGGTGGTGATTGTGGTCTGTGTGTGTGTGCAGGTGTGTTGGGAGGGGAGCATCACAGACGGAGAGCCTGCAAAGGTAGGCTGGGACAGGAAAACACCCAGACTTGAAGTTCAGACTAAGCCCTAGGAGATGGGGAGAAGGTGGAAGTTATGAGCATGGTGGTCACACGATCTCATTTGTACTTAGTAATCATTCTACTTCATTGAAAACATAAATGCTGAGAATTTTTGTTGTTTGTTTTTTAGAGACAGAGTCTCACTTTGTCACCCTTGGTAGAGTACTGTGGTGTCACAGCTCATAGCAACCTCCAGGTCTTGGGCTTAGGCAATTCTCTTGCCTCAGCCTCTAGAGCAGCTGGGACTACAGTCCCCCACTACAGTGCCTGGCTAATTTTTGTTGCAGTTTGGCCGGGGCTGGGTTTGAACCACCACCCTCAGTATATGGGGCTGGCACCCTGCTCACTGAGCCACAGGCACCACCCTAAATGCTGAGAATTTAGGGTAGACTTTTAAAAAGACTGAGAATTAGCACTTGAACAAAAGGGAATAAGAAATGCTGAGTATCTGTCTTCCCTCCAACAAGAAGGGGGCTTATAGGTTGGATTTTCCACATGGTGCCATCAGCCCACAGGAGGTGTGGATGCCCCTCAGCACCAGCCAAGCTGGGATGGAGTGAGGGCCTGTTGGCCAGTGGAGAGGGTGATGGGAATAGGTTGCTTGTGTCACCTCAGTTGATGAATATCTGTAACATTAAGTATAGCAATCCCATCAAGACACCTTCATCAGATTTTACTCTTCATTGACTCAAGAATTGAAATATCCTGAGTTACAAATCTCAGTCCCTTGCCTCAACTGGGCTTGAAACACACATAGAATAGCCAGAGACATTATCCCTTCTTGGACTCATTACATTCTTTGGCCTCTGTACAGAGACCAAAACTGGGTGCCATCTCCACTAGAGTCCTGCCTATTTGAGGTAAGGACCAGGTGGGTTTGCCCCAACCTACCAGGTATGCTTGTTTCATTAGAATTGGGAAATTTCAGAATGACTTGGCCTTTGTGTCCTAGACATCCCAGGAGAGGTCAGTGTTGACTCGACCTGGGCATGATCCATGAGCATCAGGTGTACCGAGCCTGCTCCTTGGCAGGTCTGTAGAGCCAGGAACAGTCTTTTAAAGAAATATTATTTATGAAACTGAACCTTGGTGATGAAGGCACAGATGCCAAAATAGGGTAAATGGCCCTAGGGTGGTGCAGGGGTCTCCTGCCTGGATAACTTCCATTCAACAAACATATGGCGTAAATTTCCCACATTTCTCCTTGACACTGGGCAAGACACTTCCTCTCTGTGTCTCTGATTCCTCATTTATAAAATAAAGTTGTTGGATGAGGGTAGTTTTAGGATGTTTTCTGGTTTTGACATTCTGTGGTTTGGTGCAGTGGTCAGTGCATAGGGCCCCTCACCCCTCAGCCAAGAGGGATACAGTGAACACCCAGATGCCCCAGGTCCTCGAGGAGACAGGCCCTGGCGGCCTTCACCTCCTTGCCTCCCCTAGATGAACGTACTACTCACTTTAATGGTGAAGTTCAGGTCCAGAGACAGAGACGACCCGTCAGTAACTGGTGATTGATAGCTGCTTCCGTCTTTCTTTCACAGGCTGTGGCTCAGTGTTTACCTCTCCCTCGCCTGCCCTTGGCTAAGGTCTGTTAGGCCTTTTTCCTCTGGGGCATCCTTGTGCGTGGTTATGCCTGCTCCAGTGGAGCTGCCTGCTCTTTGGACTTTATAGCCGCTTTCTAGGAGCTTATAACAAGAATTGCTATAGCCGTGGGCACACACACTGGAGACTGACCCAGGAGAGGGGCTGCCGGATGCCTTTGCAGATTCATTATCAGTTTCAGACAATCTGCTGTATGAATAATGATGAATGTGTGGTGTCCTGCTGAAGGAGTCACGTACTCTGCCATTAGCCCCGTGCTGGCAGACTGTTCATCCCCTGCGTGCAGTCCCACCCACCCGCCCGTTGCCAGCAGTTCAGACAAAGCCCTGGAAGAATAAAGTATGTTTGGTGAAGGATAACAGGAGGACTGCCCATGTTATTTAGAAATGCAAATAATAGGTTTTTAAAAAAATTCCAGACATAGGGCAAGGCCAGGGTGAGTTGCTGCTATAGAAGCAGCAAAGGGTCGGGAAAAAGGCCCCCAGTAACACACATGGGGGTGCTCTCAAGAGGTTTTCAGGCTAGTAATCTAGGTGGGACTGAGATAGACTGAAAAGAGAGATGCATCCCTGACACTCTGCAGCTGTGTGAGTACACACACTGCCCCAGGTCTAACCACCAGTCAGCTCCTCGAAGTTAGGCAACACTTGTGCCCTCTTTGAGCTTCAGTTTCCCCCATTAGTAAAGCAAGCAAGTTGAACTCAAAAGTGATCTCAAAGGGCCCTCGTAGGACTATCCTCTCTGGGCTCTTGGTCAGACAGGCTTAGCCCTATAGCCTGTCTACTCCAGCAGTCCAAGGGCCCCAAGCTCTGTGCTGTGGGTAGGTGCTGGTCCTCCTTGATGTCACCCTCTGAGGTAGTTCTCCAAACAGACCATCTTCCTCTTACTGTCTCCCCTAAATTGCTAGAGGACGTTTGAGGTAGAATAAGACTCAAATTGGTAGTGCTTTTTGCTTTAGTCATTTTTCCTTTTTGCTCATTTTTCTTCATTTGCAAGAAGGTAGGTTGCCCCAGATATTAAATCTGAGTTCCTAGGGAACTAGAGATTCATTCCTTTTTCTGGCTCCATGAATTCTTTGGAGGAATTAAATGCCATTCCAAACCAAGGGGCTGAGTATAAAGTCACAATTCTATGCAATGGTAATTTCATTCTCTCTTCCCCCATTTATTGGGGCAAATAATAATAATGGATACCATTTTATTATTTTATTATTCCTATTTTATTATTTCCTATTTGCAGGCACTCTGCTGAGTACTTTAGATACAGCAGCACGTTCAATCTCCATAATATCCACTTGAAGTAGATTCTATTTTCTCCCATTTTGCATATGAGGAAACTGATATTTACAGGCTTAAACATCTTACCAAGGTTATGCCGTGTGTAACTGGCAGAACTGAAATTTGAGCATGTGTTTTCTGACTTGAGAGCCCAAATGGTAACATCATGCAGGACTGCCAGTGCCAGTCATTTCAAGGGCACAGTAATTGCATGATTGATGGGCAGTCCAGAGACACTCCCAGGGACAGGGCTGTGGGAGTCACTGAAAGTGGTTTGCTGGGAGAGCAGCTTCGGCTAAGAGAGAAAGGGTGGCAGTAACTGCAGGCCTTTATTTTCGCGGTTTATGATATAGTGATGGGGTTCCTTTCGTGGACATAAGCCATCCTAATAGCGCCATTTATCATGATGACAAAGGTTAGAATGAGGGGAAACGCGAGCTGGAATGAAAGAGTAGAATTCTGATTATTTTAACAGTTGAAAGTGACATCACCCCAGAGCCTCTATCAAATGGCGAATTGGAAACTGGACTGAAATTGCTTTAGAATTTATCCAGAGGTAGTTTTCTACAGCTATGATAAAGTCTTTCAGCTGTGTATGGAGATGCATTTTGTGTAAAGTGTTTGCTGAGCTGCCTGTGTGTCGTCCATGCAAACATGCCCATGAGCCCCAAAGGGTCTAAGGCCTGGGGTACTCTGCTGGGATACACCACACCTGGCACTGGGGCTGTTTGTACCATGCTCCTTCATTGTTTTTAGCTTTATGTAAATGTCTTTCCATGTCAGTAAATAGTGTTTTGAATGGCCATGTTGTTTCCCTTTGACCAAGTGGGGTGCTGAACCTGGGCTGTTGAAATAAATTCTCCTGCCTTTTATCATGAGTTGGAGCAGTGGGCGCATCTGTGAAAGGCCTTGGGGATCCCCTGCCTGTTTGACTCACCTTTTATTTATTTGGCCTTTTATTCTGGGAACTTAGAGGAAAGATCCATAGTGTCCAAAGAGCTTCAATTAACTTATGCCATTTTTTCTCATCTTCAGGCAAAAGAAGGGGAACGTGGCCCATAAACACTGGGTTGGACCTTCGAATTTGGTCAAGTGCAAGCCCTGTCCTGTGGCACTGTCGCCCATGGTCTGCGGCTCTGATGGCCACACATACACGTCCAAGGTAAAACTTCTTTGTTGTCTTTTTGGTCATCAAAAACTCTCCGTGTCAGCTTGTCCTGATATGTCTCTGTGCCCAAACTGGGGTTTGTGAGACTTGCTGGGTTTCAGGCCATGCCCTCAAGAAGCTGCTGAATGAACCAATGCAGAGGTGTTCTCTGGCCAAAGACACAAGCCAGATAAGAATGTTTCATTCTGCAGAACTGGGCTGGTTGAGGTGTAGGGGAAAAGGTGGACCTGGAGGGCCCTGGGTACTGAAATTTCCTGGAGAAGGTGAAGTGGCAAGCTGTTCAGAAGACACTAGTCATGGCCAGGCACGGTGGCTCACTTCTGTAATCCTCGCACTCTGGGAGGCTGAGGTGGGAGGATTGTCTGAACTCAGGGGTTGGAGACCAGCTTGAACAAGGGTAAGATACTGACTCTACTAAAAATAGAAAAACTAGCTAGATGTGGTAGCTCACACCTGTAGTCTCAGCTACTCAGGGAGACTGAGGCGAGAGGATTATGTGAGCCCAGGAATTTGAGGTTGCTGTGAGCTAGGACACCACAGTACTCTACCCAGGGTGAGAGAGTGAGACCTGTCTCAAAAAACAAACAAACAAAAAAGATTCAAGTCACATAGCTTGGCTGATGGGGAACAAACTAGTCAGGGAGGCTGAGAGGCTGCTTTGTGCTCAGCTCAGTTAAAGGAAGGAGCATGGTATCAACAGACGTTCGATCTGTGTATGCTATCTGGGTAGAAATGCATCCAGTCCTGTGTGGGCCACACGTAAGACGCTGTTTCTGGGAGATGGTTTCAGGGGCTCACAATCTAATGGGGGCAGGGACAAGGGTGGAGACAGGTCCTTTTAATTCAAACCAATGGAAAGAACATGGTTTGATAAAGGGCTAGGGTCACAGTGGTCTGTTTATTAGTGCAGGGATGAGGAAAAGCTTCACATGGGGGGGCAGGGAGTGGTGAAGAAAGGAGGTAACAGTCCATTCTTGGGATTTCACTGTCCTTGGGATAAGGTTGTCCATTTGTGTTTGAGAATAGGGAATGGGTACATTTCACCAGAAAAAATGAATTGAAGAAAGGGAAACTACGGAGGCCACCGGAATTTGCTTATTCATTCTTTTATCTGACAGCTATAAACCAAGCTCCCCCTTAGGGTCTGACGCTGTGCTAGCCATGGAGGAGCTGGGGTGTGGGCATGTGTTTTAGGGGTTTTCTGTAGCCTCCAGCCAGAGCGGCTCCCTGCTCCTCTGTCGTCCTGTTTCTCTGTGTAAGGCTTCACTTGCAGAGTGAATCTATGGCTCCGGAGAGCTGCTGGAGAGGATGCCCCGGGACTGCCTGCCACATGGTTCTCAAGCTTTCTGCTAGGCCCTTTCTTTGTCGTTCCCCACTGCATAGACTGCTGGTGGCTTCTGTTCTCTGTCATAATGTCACCACCCTGATCCTCACACCACAGAGAAGCCACCAGCCCAGGAGCGCCCTCGCTGCCTGTTGTCCTCAGAGCCTTATTTGGGTTACTGTGGCGGTGGCCACATTTCCCTACTGATCATGTCATATACTTTTATTCCCTGGAAGAGTTTTAATGTCCTAGATATTCACATTTTTCTAACAAAGGTGAATATATCTTACAAAATAGGAAGCTGGAAGGCATGTGTGGCTTGAATCAGACCCATAGAGTCTGCTTTAGGAATTCAGTAGCATAGTTGTTGCTTGATTGGTTTCTTAGCTTATTTAACAAGTAAAGTATCATTTGAGCCCTTTCTGTGTGCCAGGCATGGTGCTAGGTGCTGAAGAAACTTATAGTGGGTATTTAGAAGCTGGCTCTTCTTCATTGCCGGAGTCAGTAATCTTTACCTTTCCAACTCCAGGCCTGCCCTGTGAGTCCCCTGCTCCAGGGCACAGCTGGTACATCTTGGCTAAGTAGCCGCAGCCCTCCTCAGCTCAACTCAACCCACACTCCCCTCTTTCCCTTCCTCTCCTTGGCCCCTGATAGAGTCAAAGTTTGAGATAGGTTGTAGTAGTAGAGCTCATCTCTGGCCCCCTACACATATATGGAATAGTGGATTTAAAGGGAAAACTGAGGCATCATTTTCATCATTCCTGAAGGCAGGAGAGGGCATTGTGTACTCACTTCTGGCCCAGGTCCTAGGTATGTAAACAGTCACCTGGGAATCCTTTTGAAACGAAGGTTGTGGGATGGGGCCTGAGATTCTACATTTCTAAAAGTTGCCAGGTGATGGCCATGCTGCCAGGTCACAGACACCAGTGAGTAGTGAGGATGTCAGGTTTCACAGGTGCCTCCTGATAGGCACCCCCTGCCTCTGGACACCCCCTTCTCTACTCCTAAAAGTTCATTTCCACAAAAGACAAGAGGGGGCCATTCTGTAACAAAGTCTGGTTGTGTATTGGCCAGCTTTCCTCACTGCCAAAGCTATGCTCAGACTCCATCCTTTCTCACAGAGCCCTCTGGGGTCCGTCCCTCCCGACCTCACAGCCCATTATCATAGAAAGGGCCTTCCATTGTTTGTTCAGCAGGTGTCTGTTCCATACTTACAGCTGTTCTGGGCACTGTGCACAATATGGGGGTGGCAGCCATGGTGGGCAAGGCAGCTACCACTCCTGCTCACTTGGGGATTGCCATCTGGTAGGAGAAACAGAAATATATGTGAAACCAAGCAAATAAATATGTAATTTCAGAGTTTAGTAAGTGCTGTGAAGCATGGTACTGAGAGAGACAGCTGCATGCGGGCGCTGAGGGAGGGGCACTCTGGGGAGGTGAGAAGGTCCATGGGCAGTGAGGGGTGTGATATGTTTGAAGAACTCAGAGGAGACCCCTATGGCTCCCAGTGTGGGGGGAGAGGCATCTGAGGTGAGGGGGAGCATGGTTCAGTGTCTGAGAGGGGACACTCAGCCAAACTGGAAGGTAAGAAGGGGGTTCAGCAGCTTCAGGCTTGGGAGACACTTGGTGCAGCAACTGCCTCAAGAGCATGAGCCAGAGACAGTGCCTTTCACCACCTTCACAGACATGGCGCACAGTGTGTACTGGGGGCCACTCCGGAAGTGGCACTCATGACAGGAGCCAACAGGGATGCCAGCTGCCAGGAATGGGGAGAGTCCAGTCCTGGATTTGATTGGGGGCAGAGATCACTTTGTTGAGATAAACAAGCCTTCTCCAGCCTGCGCCCCAAGTTGCTCAGCCTAACACCAAGCCTGGGGCTCCGGCCGAGAATGAGAAGCTCTTTGCAATGCTTCTCTCTTTGTGAAGATCCTGTTTGTGCTGTTCAAAATTATTTCCTCAAGCTCTGGAGTAAACCGTCTGATCCTTGAGCCTGAGATCAGAGACAGGCCATAAGACATCAGTGGGTGATCAGTGAGGGACTGTTCAGGCGAGTGGCATATTGCACATCAAACTCCAGCAAAAACCTACCCACTCACTTCTGTCAGAAGGAGCTTAAATGCTGGCTCTTCCTGACCCCTGAGGGGCAAGGAGCAGCAGGAACCTGTCAGAGACAGCCTGAGATGCTGTCAGTGGTCCAGGGAGTGTCTCTGGAAGTGTTTGTTGGTCGAGGCCGCCCGGCAGTCTGGGCAGGAGAGTTAGCTTTCTGTGTTTGGGAAGGTTTCCTGCTCACAGGCACTGGTAAAGAGCTGGTGTAAGAGGCAGGATTAGGGTTCCGAAGACCCTGTGCAGTGACTCCTGGTTCTTTGCAAGAGGAGCAACCTCTACCTGCTGGGTAGAGCCCTCAAAGCCTTCTTCAGAGCTTCCTGCTTGTCCTTTAGTGTCTTTGAACTCAGCCAATGGAGTCCTCGGTTTCCTAGGCCTGCTCAAATCTTTTCCTGGAGCAGAAGAAGAAACCTAACGCCTTCTTATCAGAAATTGTAGTGTTCTTCTCCTATACTCCACGTGTGGTGTCCTGAGGCCCAAAGAGATAAGACCAGTGGCAGTTTGACAGCAGTGTTCTCCTGCCTGGGTGTCTGGGGTCTACTCACCGCTGTCTGAAGTTAGGGAGGGGCTGTTGGGAGAAGCAGCGTTGCCATGGAAACAGCGTGTATATTGGTTTTTGCAATTCATGTGCTGGTCTTCTGTCTTCTGTGAACTTCTAGAAGAACATTTGTGTTCTTTCCTGACATAATAGGTCAATTTTGTTTCACAGTCATCAGCTGTATGTTGATTGCTTAAGACCTCTGAAACAGAGGACAATTCTAAGCCTCTGTGGCATTTGATGAGGCTTCCTTTCAAGGAGGAGATTTCTGCCTGGTTGGGTTTACTCCTGGACTGTTTTAGTTATTGCCCCTAACTACATGGCCACTTGTTTATTGAGGTTCAAAAAGATGTTTTGGTCTCACAAAAAAGTTGGTGGAGACTACCAGTAGATGTCAATTGATAAGGGTGAACGAGTTAACCATGATGGACAAAGGACTCCCCATCCTTTGGAGTTGTGGCCTTTTTTTAGGAAATAAGGACAGGTGAGACCATGATGCGTGGGTAATTGGAGGTGACTTGATGTCAATAAGTCAAACTCATACAAATTAGTTTTGGCAAAAGTATGTTACAGCCCCAGCCCTATCATTCCCACCCCATAATAAATAGTCACAGTTCACCAGGTGAATTGCTTGACCCTCCAAGAGGGGGTCGAAGGCTGTGAGAGCATCATTGGGGAAGCAGGAGGAAGGAACCTGAGCATCAGCCTTTCCTTGATGGTGAGTGTCTGTCCTGGTGTCGCAGCAGCAAGCTCTCCTACTTCTGAGTCCCCAACAGTCAGAGGCTCCTAGAACTGGGGGATACAGTTAGGAGCTTCTGTCTACAGAAGGCCTCTTTCTGACACAAGGGATACCACTTAGAGCTGTGTAACTCCTGGTGGATCAAAGATAAAACACATAAGTCTTGAGATGAGGGGATGAAAGACTACACTTGGCAATCAATGTTATTCAAACTCTGTAAAGCATAACTTGTAAAGATAGGGAAAAGAAAGGTACTATAGGGAATTGACAAAGTGAAGGTCAAGGCTGCA